TAGACTTGTATCTATCCTTAGATCCGAAACACTTGACATTTCTTGAAAATAACTTAACTCAAATCAAATTTAAGATACTACAAGAACAAGAATATGAAGCAGATCATAGAATTATTATTTGTTGTAGATCATAAATCAACAAAAAATTTACAACTTTATTGTAAATAAATAATTAAAAGCTGATAATAAATTTATGATAAATTTAAGTTATGTTATCTTAAATTTTCATATTTGAAGCTTTACAACTTGTTTGAAAATTGTATACAATGAGATCAACATACTACACTTGTAATCTTAATATAATTGTATGATAAAAAAATTACGCCAAAAGAAAAAAAATGAACTAATAGAAGATATACTTTCAATTGGAACAAATTTCTTGTTATGTCTAATCTTGAGTTTGTTGAATTTATTTTATATCAAATGAATGTTATCATCACCAAACTATATGATGACATAATCTTCATAAAACGATATATGGTCTCTTCAAAAGAAATGAATAGTAAATGTAATGATAAAATAGTTACACATATTTAAACAAAATGAAAGAAAAATGTAAGTAATGAGATTTTTGAACTTCATCATTTAATATTTTGTGCAAATGACATATTTATTGTAGCTAAAAAGAGATCTCATGATATTATGTTCTTGACTTTTGAGTATAGAATGAAATATATCTTCTTTCAATTTGAAGTAAGATAATATGATTATGTAGACCTTTATACTTCATTTTCTGCCTTGATTGTGATGCGAGCTTTTTGACATTATTGACATGAATCAAAGTGCTTAAGAGTAAGTTATATGCTTAGAATTATGCATACTTACATAGAACTTGCTGCATGATGGAATAAGTGGAATCATATAGGATTGAAGATCTAAATCAGATCTCCACATAAGGTTTTCACAAGTTGGAGCTTAGAAGAAGAGAAAAATTATTAAAAAATAACATTCTATCTGATTAGTATGAACAAATATAAATCACTAGGTGATAAACTTGATGATTATTTGGCTAAAATTAACGATATGAATCACTAATAAATTCTGAAAGCAATAAGAGTTGTGAGAACTTAGATACTCAATGAGATTTAGAATGTTGAAAATTTTTTGTAAGTATCATAATTAAACAACATTTAGCCGACTTCAAGAACAATATTGAATTGTAAAATGGTTAATGTTAATAGACTAAGCCTATAGTACCCAAAGGAACAAAAGGCTGAAAAACACAATACAAGCAAAAATCATAAACAAGGAAAAATACCCCAATGTCCAATTCCTAGCTAGTGCCTAGAGCATTAAATCGGTCATTAATAATATCCCTAATACAACAACCTAAATCAAAAAGAAACTAACTGTAATAAAGAATACAAATTCTTCAAATCTATATTATGAGCAAGACTAATGTCTTCGTACCTAGAACAAGTAACAAATACATGCTCTTCATACTCAATGTACCCACCATCACATAATCTACAAACACGTTCACTACTCTCAATATTAAGCCAGCGTACTTCCTCAATTTCAAGCCTATGAGATCCAGCAATAAGATTACGTAAGGACGTATAGATTCCTACAAGTAGGTTATCATGTTCACAATAAACAAGCATAGGATTCACATGAAGTTGATAAAACTGCATTTTGGTGCCGCGTTTGCTTCAAATAATGTTCAAAAATTACCTCTTTAGACGTTCACGTAGTGTTATAGGTTGCACATCCCAATTGGCACTTTTGGCACTCAAAGCTTGAAGAGGAAGGTGATAAGCATCAAGAAATCTCAACCTTATGATGTAAGTGATGATCAAGTATAGAGTTTCAGCCTATAGAGGTAAACAACTTGTTTCCGCAAGAAGTATAGCATATGAAGTTTGGTTTCTCACACCCAATTCTTTTTGTAGAAATATCTTCTGCACCCTCTATACCCAATTCCAACGTGTCTTCTTACAACCAGAGCCAAACACTTGGGTTCCATATAATACTACCCGCAACACTAAGCTTATGAAGAAATATCCTTAGACTCTAAGACACTAGATGAGCCCTTCTACACCGATTTAACAATGAATATAGAGCTTTGTAACCACCTTCTACTCTCTTTATCACGCAAAGTGCCCAATTATAATCATTAGAAAAATCAATGCATAGATATTTATAACTCTTCACGTCTTCTTGTTTCGAAGTGATATTAAAAAAGTATGTCATAAAAACAGTCTATTGGTAAAATTGAGTCATATTAATAATTGTGACAAAGTGTTTTTGGCTTATGTCAATCTTGTTGTTTTTCATATTTTAATTTTTTAATTTTGGTTCAAAAATGTAAGATGTGGCTGAGTAGCATAAAGTAGATCCTTGTAATAGAAGTAGAACTTGGATCTAATGCACACTATCATGACTATGTATATAGTACCTTTTTTCATATATGATGAATAATCAATCTTAAAAACAAAAGATTTTTGTTTGGGTATCTTGTACTTTCATGGAGATGATGTCATCAACACATCATGTACATGCAATCAATTTTTGGTTCAAGATTTCATTTTAGAATCAAACATTTCAACTTGTTTGATACTTTTGGCTATTTATTGGAAGTTATAATAAAATGACAATATCAAAAATATAAAAATAATTAATAAATTATATTATTTAAAACTTTTAACTTAAAATAGAATATTTTGAAAAGTCTCATGACGTTTTTTGAAAGTTTGATTACAATTCAAAGAATCAAGTCATGCGCAACAAGTGAAGTAAGTTATATTTTGATACCACTTACTCTATAGCAAAAATTCATGAGTATCATCTGAATTAGTTCGCCATTCAATTTTGGACTTTTAAGCTTGTTTGACAAATCCAAAGCTATTTCCTGTATGACCTTAGTTACATATGAATCATTTTGTAGAATTTATACCCACACAAGTATCTTGAGAATGAAGATCAAAAGATTCTTGAAGTATGGAAGTTTTGATTAATTCAAGATAAATATGTTAGTTGAATACTAGCAAGATTCAGTATGAACAATTGCAAGACTGTTAATACTCATTTAGCTTTTAAAATAATTTCATAAAATTTTTGTGTGAAAAATAACAAGGACAAATGTTTGATGTCCAATAAATCTGATGACACAACAATTACAATTTCATGTTTTTGATGATTTGCACAAGAATTAACTTAGTTCTTGCTTTTAGCAAAACTAACAAATTCATGTCAAATTAAAAATAAACACATTGCATCGCATTGAATTGAGTTCTTAAATATATAAAAAAATTATTTATTTTACTCTTGTGTTTGATGCAAAGTCATACAATACTAAATCACTTATTTTGGATGTATAGATGTTGAATATGGATAAAAGTTAAACAAAAATAAAACGTCAAATTTCATATGTGTTCACACTTGTGTACATATACTAGAAACCTATATTGTAGAAGTGTGTAACTCAAATCACAAAGTAAGATGAATAAATAGCTACAACAAAAGAAAAATAATTGGCTGGATAGACTTATCATTGGAATTAGATTACTTTAGTACAATGTGAATCTTTAATGTAAACTTCAAAGTACATTATATCTAATCATGAATCAAACTATATAGAATATAAACATTGATATCATATGTAGGGGTCGGCCCGGCTCCGAGACGTCTTCAGACCGGCTCGGCTACGACTTAGTCGAGCCGGCTTCTCTATAGACGATTTACCGCTAATGGATCACAGGTCACCATGGTATCGATCACGCAAAGAAATGGCTCACCGTAAAATTTCTCTATATCTAAGTGGATCTTTCACCTGGTGACCAATTGTTATTGACCAATTGTTATTGTTGTTAAGAAAAGATGTTACATCATTTTGCAGTAGTGACTCACTAGAGGTCGGCTTGAGACCGGCTCGGCTAAGACTTAGGCAAGCCGGCTTCTGTCCGAGCTAACCCGGCTCCATGTACTAGCGGCTCCAACCGAGCCGGGCCGACCGCTAATCATGTGTCATGTTCCCAAACCCTTTGTGATTAATTAAATTAACAATTTCATGCATGTGTTAATAGAATAATTTTTTTGTTTTTAAAAAATCAATTTAATACATTATGCAACATTGATAATTTTGAATATGATTAAAAATTTGATTAAATTAAAAATTTTAATTATTTAATATAATTTCATTACATATTTTTTTCTATTTTGATATAGTTTTAAAAGTTCATGCATGATAATCTTATTATTTTCAAAATATAAATAGAAAATTAAGATGGGTAAGAGCCAACTATAACATTGACTAACTCCTAGTTTGATTAATATGTTAAAGTATAAAAAAATAATTATAAAATTCAAGTGCTTACTTACAAATCCTGCATTTAAGCACTGTTTTTTTAAATAACTTATATATAAATTATATTTTTTCAGTGTTTGAGTATAATATCGATAATATTTATGATAAATATATATATTATTCATCAAATTTAAAAAAATATTAATTATTATCAAATAGTGATATAAAGGGAGTTTAGAGCATACATTACTCTCTATATTCTAGTTCATAAAATCTCAAAATACATGATGAATCGTTTGTTGATTCTGTAATAACAAATTAACAATTATTCTTTTATATAATTATAAATTTTTAATAATCAGCTTGCTTATTATCCTCATATGTTCAGTTCATATATACATATTCAAATTAAATTGAAACATGTAATTTTCTATCATATTTACTTTAATTTTCTTCTTTTTTCCAACCAGTTCATTTTTAGCTCAACATAAATTGTTATGTTTTTATCAAGGGAACGGCTAGTTATCATGCTAAGGTCTCCGTGTTCGTTGCCGAACAAGAATGAGTGCAAGGCCTTTGCACAGAAATGGACTTGTGCTTTTTATCGTGCGGGATCTAGACCGGTCTGGCGCTAATTAGCTTTCACTCTACTCCAGGCTCTTCTCTCATTGGTATATGCAGGGTTATAGGTTCCTCCGATAATTGAGGAATTAAAACACAAGCAAACTTGAAGTAAAGCAGGTTTGATCATTGAGAATGTATTTGGCGTCTACAGTCAATTACATCGTGAGTGGGCAAAATGGACACCAGGCTCAGCTATGAAGTTGCCATGACTTCAGAGACGTTCCCAAATATGGATCATCAACACTATTCCTGACGACGCAGGTGAAGCACTGAAGCTGTGACAAACTTTTCGGCAAAAGTCTCCTCGATGGCATCTATCTGGTACATACTTGACAGAAATGGACTTCGGTATGTTTGCCGCTTTTCGGCAGGTCAGCTGCGAAGTAGTTAAAGAGTAAGACAGTAAGTTTCCCTTGAAGAGGAATCCGGACTCCGCATTTCTTGTGGCAGCGAAGTTGGCTGAACACAATCTCCGTGATAAGAGTTAAATCAAACTCTGATACAGCTGCCGTTCTGAGTAGACGGCAACGCCGTGATTGATACAAAAACCCTTACCTTAAACCTTTCATGGAGAGACGTCTGGCTGACGATCCCGCCACTTTGATAACACCAGGAGTTGGACGATCGTGGAGGGTCAGTCTAAAAGAAGGTAACTTCCTCATAGGATCACGAAGGTCTGTGCTTTGGTGCAGCGAGTATGAATCGTTCGGTCGTTGTCGGTGAATATGGAAGGCCGTCACCCTTTCAGGCTGACGCAACGTGAAGAAAGTTGTTGTGTTGAAGTGATGTGAGAAACCGAAAGGGCAGGCAGCTCAAAAAGAGGGAAACGATAGACGGCCATACTACATATTCATCAGTCTACAGCTTCACATTTAATATGTTTGTGGCTTTACCGGGTACAATGTCCAACGTAAATTGGCCAAGCCTGCCTTTCCTATAAAATTCAAGGAGGTGCTGCGAAACCCGTTCTAATCCTGCCTCACCTAGTTCGACAGGAACATGGAAGAACCTGCGCAGAAGGTTCATCTGCACATCCACTAAGCTTTCCATATCCTGTTTGTTTTCCAGACTTCCATCAAACTTGAGGCACGCTGAGGCTAGCAAGTCTCGAACTCCCGATAATGTGTCAATTGTTGTCTGCGCACCACATATTACACCTCTCATCTTAGGCTTTACAGAAAGAGAAACATTGTCAGAACAGCAAACGAAGGCACTACAATATCACTCACCGCATTTGATTTTGCGAACCCTGATTTCCAGTGAAGATGTGCTGACCGAGCATTAAGAACGGAGAGTAAGTATCGTGCAAGTCGCTCTTCTCCGATGACTGTGTCTTTAACAGCACCTAGAGAAAAGGGTACGTCAACCTTGAGATAGCTTTGGAGCACAGAAAACCACCTGCAGTTCTACACTGGAAACTAAGACAAAGCCTCTTCTTTTGACTGGAAGGAGAACGAGATAGATTCTTCCCAAGAGCTGACTCACCTGTCAATGCCAATTTCATCCCAGTCTCTATGTTCTCGATATTTGGAACCAGGACACCTGGAGTATCTAACACATAGGTACTCGGCCTTTCACCAATCTGTATAAAGCATTACTGAAAACATCAGAATATCTTGACAGATCGATGAAAAAATGATTATATAATGCAAGAGTAGAAGTCTCATATTCAGCGCATGTGTGTGTTGCAACCTACAATGACACTACATTCCAGTCCAGACGAGACCACTACTCCGAGCAAGACGAAGAGACAAGCACAACAGCACTAACCTAAAGGCCCTGCCAGCACAATACTAACGATAACCACACAATAAGATCACTGGAGAACGAAGAGACAAAAGAGATTCTCCACTGATTGCTAGTGCTTCAATCGGTGTAAAGTAGAAAGATATACTTCTCTACTTTGTACTCTTTCCCTTTAACGTTCTTTGGGACATGCACTAGTCGTCTCAGTACTCATCGAGGGGTGAAGTAAGCACTGAAAGAACCTAATGGACAACCTTAAATCCGGCCACATGTCGAGTGACTCCTGGCAAAGGCCCAACTTTAGCCCTCTTAGGCTGCTCCTGCACTAGACAGGGTACGTCCTGTAAGGCCAGGATTTATCGGAGACAATGCACAATGAAGTACGATATCGTCTCGTTTCGACACGAGCGATGCTTCGATGGTCAGAGGGAAGCGCAATTTACAATAAGAACTATGCATAGCACTAGGATATGCTAGAACTCACCAGATGCACTGCAAATGAAAATGATCCTGAGATACAAGTTAGGAGATAAAACCTGAAAAATTCGCCCGCGTGATGTTGGACATGCTATTGATTATGCAGGATTTGCCAACGTTTGGAATTCCCAGGATCATCACCAGTACAGTCGGCTCTTTCGCAATGACACTCTGGAGTTGTGTTCGGACCATTTCGAGCATCTGCTCACAACCTCAAATCGAACAATTGACGAAAGAGAGTAAGCTAACACTGGGCGAAAAACATCCCCATGATCGAGGTTACCTTCTCTATACAAAGACAGGAAGATCCTTTGAGTAAGAACCAGGACGGTGTTTTACTGCAACCCAGTGTTACAAACCAGCGAGCAAACCCACAACAGTCCCATCCGAATCCTTGTATGCATCATAATATACCTTCTTGACGGTCTTTGACTGATGAGCGTTGACAAATATGTGATTTTGACCGACGGATTCAAAGTACTCCTTCCATTTCTGGTGCTCATGTCGCACAATGAGTGAACAACCACGTGAGTACACTGAAACTATCTCAATATACGATAAGAACAGGCGAATACACATACGATAACCTACGACAATCGACGAGAGGGCAAAAGACAGGCTTCAAACTTTTACGTGACGAACAAAGGAAAAGGAAAGACGCGAGGCATAAGATTCTTCACAATCAAACAATTTCTTCAAAGGTCGACGCAACTCAGAAAGAACTTTAGGACTGGCAAAACAATCTCCAAATACGGTCTCCAAGTGTCCGTTCATCCTGACCCAGGTAAGCATCAAATTCCCCAATATGCGGGATTACTAATAACCGCACAAGATAGTATGAGGTGAAAAGTGGCTACGATAAGGCATTCACGAGTGCGATGGTCCGTGGACTCCCAGAGGATCCCCCTGGAAAATTAGTTCAGAAATCTTCACCCATCAACGGAAGGATGTTCTGGGAGCCAGCGGCATTTCAAAGTCTTACCAACATCATATTCGGATTCGCCAGATCCATTTTGTTGAGGACAATCAATCGCTTTTTCATATTCAGAACTTCTTGAAGCTCCTGATTAGCTGATGACAAAGGAATCTGTTGATGTAAACGAAGGCCAAAATAATTCATCAACAACAGATTTCCTTCATGACTATCAAACCTACGACAGGTGATCATAGAACTCATGAATTTGTGAAATAAGCACAGATGCCGAAAATTAACCGCGACAAAACGCAATCAGCGACAGTAGATCCTGAAATGGGCCGCATGCATCTGCCAAGAACAGCCGGAACAATGTTTACCCTGGCATCGCGGATCTCCAAGATGAAATCCACACTCTTGATCTGCCCCCGGATGTTGCGAGTGGCCGATGCCATGTGTCCAGGGTACCAATTCACCGCCTCAGGACCCTCAATCAAACTACTCGCTGAGTAGTGCCTCCTGCTCATCACCATCGCCATCATCCACGATCGCATTCCACGATCAAATTGGCGTTCCACCCTCCTCCCACTCGCCCAAAACCCCCTCCCGCAAACGGCAGCCATTTTTTCTCCCAGACTCTAAACCCCGACCCCTCTCGACGGCATCATCAGCATTGGGCTCTGCCAGACCCTTCCTCGCGCACATCCGACCCTGCGATGATGCCGCTCCTCACCACCTCCGTCGCCTCCACCGAAGCCATCAATCCACTTCTCCCAGACCTCGCTCGATCAATTCCTCGTTCAAACTGCGTCCGTGTATCTGTACCTTCTCCAGCCTCGACTGTACAAAACCCAGGCCACGTAGATACGTCGCTTGGAGAGCCTTGGACGGGTCTTGGACCGATGGACGCTTCCGCAGCTAGGACTCTTGGACCCCGCCGAAAGTAGCGGGCGCGAGGGTGATCTATTGGCTCCGAGCCGTGGCCAGGAGGGTTTATGGAGAGTTTGGAGCGGATTTAGAGGCTGGATCTCTTGGAGGGACCCGCGCTGGACTCTGAACTCGGCAAACGGGTCACGCAAGCGAGCGAGCTTCATGATCAGGATCGTCATGAGCTCGAGGTCTGGACTGGAGTTCGCGGGCCACGAGTGCCGGAGACAGTGGTCGTTGGGGGTTTTGGGATTGCGGCGGTGTGTCTGCCCAGGCTCAATGCGGACGCGATGATTCGGGTGCGCAGAAGATGGTGAGGTGACGATGGAATTTCAGTGGAATGTGGTCGGATTGAGTGGCCCGGGCGGCGAACGGGGCCAGTAGGGCGAGAATAGGAGGGGAGGGAAATATCGAGTCCGAGGTGTGGGTGGCAAATTTCGGGGAACCTCGGATATGCGTTACGACGGACGACGAGGGGAAGGAGGATCGATCGTTCGAGTGCAGGAGCAGCAGGCGATGGATTGACCTAACCGCTTCTGCTGGTTGCTCTGCTGGAGCCGTGGAGGGTGACGGAGGGAGGATGGCGCGGTCGGATTGGACAGATGGTGCTGGAAGACGGGATAGGGCCCGAAGCCCGGTGTCTTCCAGAGACAGGGACCGGAATTTGGACGCGCAGTCTTCGCCCCCCCGGAGGAGAAAGAGCGTGATTCGCAGTCCATCGGAGGAGCATTGCGACGAGAGGCAGGACGGGCTCAGGCATCGACGTCGAGATATAAGGCGCGAGGAGTTGGATGGAGGAGGTGTAGACAGAGACAGAGACAAGAGGATGCATTTCGAAGTGAGCGATCGGAGTCAGGTGGGTTCAATTTACATGACCCACTCCGTGGGTCATGTGGATTCGGGTGGTAGGGACGAGCGACGTCGAGAGGACAAGAGCATGGGGAGGGATCCCAGCTCTTCTGACGACGACAGAAGCAGCAGCGAGGAGGACGAAGTTGTCGAGCCGGGAGCGAAGGTGGAGCGATCCGTGAAGCCCGAGCGGAATCGAAGGCATGAAAGTTCTGATAGTTCTGAGGACGGGACTGAGGAAGAGTCGAAGAAGAGTCGAAGCCGAAAGCGGATGAAGAGTCGACGAAAGCACGTGGATTCTTCTGAGGACGAAAGTGAGGATGATGAGATTATGGGTGGAACGCCCACGAAGAAGAGTAGGAGCAGACAGCGTGAGAAGAGCAGAAAGCACGGTGATCGGAAGTCGAGCAGAAGGAAACATCGCCGGAATCGAAGTGACTCATCGGATGATGATACGTCGGAGAGTGATGAAACCTCAAGCAGCAGTAGCGATATTTCTGAAATCAAAGACGACGCCCCTAGAGAGAAGGAGAGGAAACGCAAGAAGAAGAGACGACGGAAAGAGAAGGAGAGAGAACAGGAGAAGGAAATTAGACGCAAGGAGAAGCGGATGTTGAAAGAAATGAAAGAGAAGAAAACCAAGTCGGAGAAGAAAAAAAAGAAGAGAGAGCTGCGGGCTAAGCAGCCGATAACCACCTCCTGGGGAAAATATGGTATTCTCAAGGACATTGACATGTGGTATGTTTTACTGTTCAGATACAGCCTTTACATTCGAGCAAAAATCAACTCGCCTGATGAAGGGATGGGCATATAATGAAATACCTAAGTTTAAATTTGTAGTGGAATATGTCCGTCGAAATGAAGATGCCCCTCCTTGTTGAATGTGAATCCTGCTGCTGCTCTGTTTTGAGAGCATTAGAGATACTGATACCAGCTTCCCTGTCGTATCAGGAATAAGCGACCTGAATTTAGTGCATGGTTGGCGCAAGTGAAAAAGGTATTTACATTTGAGCACCTCAAGCTACGTTGTGTGCTTGCTCATCTCTCGAAGCACTCAATTGTCTGTAATGAATGAACCTGTTAGTCTACAAGGGGATTTGAAGCCTACATATGTGACCCATTTGAGTAACCTTTTTCGTCCGTAGCGTATTAGAAACATCTGATAGCTCCAGTCATCATCGTAAAAGCTTGCTATGTTTATGAGCATCAGCAGCAGCTGTCAATCATGTCTTTTTTGTTCAAAAGCGCTATTATAGAAGACAGAAGATATGAATCTGTGTGTTGATGAAGATCGGTATAAGTCTGATTTGAGTAGCTGTTATTTCTTCGCCGGTGTTATCTCTATGTTCAGTTTAGCTATGCAGAAGAAAGGCTGTTGTGTTTTCCGTATATTTTTCTTATCATTTCAGATCTTAGCATATAATATGGTGTTGCCTTTCTTCTTGCAGGGTGTTTATATAATATGGTGTGCTCAATTCGTGGCAGGTCAATATGGAAGTTTTGTCCAACTGGGAGGAGAAGCAGATGTTCAAAGAGTAAGTTCCTTGCTTTGTTGCGCGGTCCCCTGCGAAGAGTGTTCGTGACAGAAAGTCTAGCACCCTTCATCATCGTGCAGTCCGTGCTCAGGCCTAAATCTGTTATCGCTCTGTAATCAAGGTCCGGCTATTCTCGAAGTCTTTATATTTCATATCTTCTGTACAGTAGTTTGTTGTCGTCTAACTAGTGGTTTCAAACAAATCTTGCAGGTATATGGAGGACTACAACACCGCTACTTTCCCATCTAAGAAGTAAATATCTCTTTCGTATCCTTACTGTCCATCTTTTATGAAGGGAAACATAGAATGCCAGAGTGGATTTAAAGGCTGATTCAAGCACTCAATTTATCCCCTCTGTTGATAACAGGTACTACAACCTTGATATTTACCACCGCCGGAAAGCCATGAAAGCGAGAATGAAGGGCATGGCTAAATTTGTCAAAGTGGAGCGGACTGATTTTAACGACGAAGAACAGAGACGGTGAGTCAAAACTTCATAATATTAACGAAGCCGTTATAAGATCGGCTGTGGGTTTTCTCCTCGCCAAGTTACAGCTGCTACAATCGCTGCAAGTAGATCAGCTGATCAAGTTGTCGTCGTTCGTATGTTAAAGATTACGTATCTGGATGTAGCTATTGCTAACCGTTGTATTGAAAAACTAACAAACTCGAAGATGCATTCATGGTTCAATAATGTTTGAAGAGAATTTCGGTTATTGGTTTGTTACAGCCTGGAATTACGGAAGGAGCGGGAGCAGAAGAAGGAAGAAGACGTCGAAGCACTGATGAGGACAATGCAAAGTGGAATGGTGTGTGGAAACTTCGTGCTTTCTCTGTTCGTGACTTATGCCATTACGTCTCGAGTATGGTCAGTGGTGATGCATTGGTGTCGCGTCAAGACTTTATGGACCGTTACGATCCATGCCGTTGTGAAGTGTATGTCAATGTTGATTTCCTTAGAGTGTTCTTTGGACAAGAATTTGTTCTAAATATCACAATCATTTGGTCGTGGTTCAGGCCCAAGCTATGCGAGAGCAGGCACAACTCCGAGAGGAGATGCAATACCAATTTCGTTTGGGCAACGTCGAGGTACTTCGCTCTGTTTTACTGTTATTGATTTCTAACTTCTGCGCAGTATTTGGAAACGTGAGGGCCTTCAATACGATGTTCTGACTGATGCATGTTACATGTTTTGTTTTGAAAATAATTTTGTGTTGAAAATTGCAGGCAGCTCAAGCTATTCAACGTCGACTTGATCCTGATGCAGATAAGCTTGCCAAAATGTAGAAAATGTTAGAGAGTTACTCTTTCCTGAATACATTTCTTCGTTCCTAGAGAGCTTATGGAAGGATACGAAGAAGAGCTGCTCCATCAGTAAGTTTTGACGTGTAAATTGGAACAGTGGAGACGGTCTAGGTCTCATTTTTGGGTTTACCTGGATTGACCTGGATAATTCCTCCGTTGAATGTATTGAATGCAAGCAACAAGTCAATGATGAATCAAACTGTTAAACGTAGTATGCTCGGTGTTATTCTTACTTGGCCGGCATTGCCTCAACTGCAGTGATACGGGTGTCATAGAATATTGCACAATCCAACCCTCACTGGTATATGCTGCGCCCTTCATTCAAAGTATGTATGTGCAAAGTTGCTCCAAGTAATGTATCAGCTACGCGTGGTTGGGCTAGTGGCGGTGAAGAGTTTGATGCTCCTATGTTTTTATGAAATTCATTCCTTAGGACGTCAAATGACTTGACTATTAACCTCATATAAAATCACCTATATCTTGAGAACACTGTTATCGGCGAAACGTCGCAGGTGCGGACTAAAGAGAGCAAAGACATGTCATACTTTTTAAACAAGAATATTTAGATGTTGATAATTATATCAGAAGCTCTCACACACAAAGTCCAAATCATGAGTTGATGAAATCATCGACTTTCTGGAAGTTGAGAGGAGGTAAATCTTGTATTCCCAAATTAAACATTGTAATCTTTGAGTAGGAAAGAGGTAGTCCCTGCAAGAATGAGGATGGTAAATTCGTAAAAAGCCAGTTTACGCAAACTTAAAGAATTGTGCGACTAACTGGAACATCTAATTTAACGGCTGCACGTTGTAGAAGGTAAGACAGATCACCAAGATACTCTGTATACAAATGAACGGTAAATGGGATATAAATATTTCTCTATAAAAAATAATTCGTCGAGCAATTGCCGTGTTTGTTATCTCTTGAAAGAGATCTGCATCTGAAGAACACACCTCATTTAAAATATCCATGACTTAAGCTGACTCATGAGAAATCATGTACAGTACTTCACCTTGAAGCAAAGGAAATCAAAGGCGATATCTATCCCTAGGCTTTGAGTATGAGTGGAAGTTATCCTCTATATCCTGCATAGAAAGGAAAATACAAGTGCTTTAAGATAGTGAAATAGATATCACCAGAGGCCATATGATGATATCATTGTTGAGTACTAGAAGATACTTAAGAACGTGTTTGAAGTGAGAAATAATGCCAATAGACTTGCTATATATTCTCAAATTTGAACCTGAAAGACTATACGCATTTGATTGAGTCAAATCAAGCACATTGAGGGGATTCAAAATAGACAAAGGATGAAAAAGGAGCAGTCTGCTACAAAAAATTGTCCAACTGCAGTGTCAAGACACTACCAATGTGCTTGAAAGTCACTCTTGGTATGTACTCATGGGGAGTAATGATCTTACTCTCAAAGGTTTCTTCTGATTTTGGTGTGACAATGTCAACAACATTAGATCCACTAGTGTTTACATATTTTGCTTTGAGAGGTATACCTATAAGTTGGGGGAAGAAACGGCAGATATAAGTATCATTCTGCTCAACACAAGCTACAATCTTGACCTCCAGTACTCAAGAGCTGATTCATTGTGGGGAATGAGAGATCTAATTTCATAAGCATGTCTTATCATTTCTGTTAGGTTTAGGTTGACTCCACCAAATGCAAGAGAGTTCGCAAAACTTGATGTGGTGGTAAAGATATCATATATAATTTGAGAATATTCTAAAAATGATTTCCAAAAAAATATATGTGAATCATGAAACTCCAAATTCAAATGCAATCTCAACTTAGAGTTCCTTAGAACCAAACTTCGAGTCGTAACTTAGTGGTGCGATCCAACGGACATCTGATTCATGCCTAAGACAAAATACTTGCCGCATTGGTCGATAACATTGTATTCAATCTTAGGGCATGAACTGACAAAAAATCAAAAAATAAATTGTCTACAAATCAACTAGAAGGCCACCTCTAGGAATATCACAAATCTAGCAACTATCTGCTTCATCTGGTGCGCAAAGTCATTCATTTACTGTAAGATTCTATACACAAAATATGCAAAACCAGCTTCAAGAGTGTGAATTGTATGGATAAATAGAAAACATAATGAATGATTTAAAATTGGCACTTGCGTCTCATCTCCATACTCTGCCTGGCAATTTCAGCCAGTTTTTTCCTGTTATAGCTTCACTGGAAATTAGTGCACATTTTGACTGAACGTTCCTCTACTTTTCCCAAGATCAGCTTCCGGGGAATTATGCTACTATCCTAAAGGGATTTAGATCGACCAGTTGGAGCTACCAGTACAATCATTTGCAGCTTTTCAATTTTCAAATCAATCTCAGGAACATTAATTTGATGTTAAAAACGTGAAACATGGATATATTTCTCCGTCCACATTCTGCTGCAGATGAATTTATAACCCAAATCGAGATACAGAAGATGAACTTGGAAAGGTTTTTATAACAGCCCAAGTATTCATCTAGGAAATCATTTGATTGTTAGGTAGAACTTTCCAGAGAGTACATTTGAGTCGCTGTTTCACAACCTTCTCAGACATTCAGGGAAGATATTGCACCTTTAGATATATCCATGTGTAAGTTATCTTGTCCAAGTGAAAATAGCTAATTCTGGAAATTTTGTCGAACACTAAGGAACTATTTGTTGCCAAGGAATATTTCTTGAGAAAAATTCTCGTCAACAGTTACTAACAATTTTCCTCATTCCTGTTTCCAAAGTTAAAACTCTGCTTACGCATTATTCCAATTCAGCAAGAGTCTGCTCATGCCAAGAGTCTTTGGGAGTTGAAGTATGAACTGACCACGGTGAGACGAAGCAGATGCGAATCCCGAGACCTTTTGCACAAGAATCTGTATATAGGATATAGTTTTAAGAGCACCATATGTAGCGAGTATGAAATAAATAAAACAACAATTCTCAGCATAACTGGCCATGTCCGACAGCTGTAGAGCAGAAATCTACTAAGTTTGAATTGTTTGCAGTTGAAAGGGTAATACAAACACAAGGATTTCTTTTCTCCAATTACATATCAAGTAGCGATATGGATACTGAGATATGGTGCTATTTGACATTCTTTTTGTCTGTCAACTCTTCTTTTGTTTTAGAAACATTCAAGAAATGCCCGCACATTAAGAACCGCATTTCGCTCTCATTCAGTAAAGTGAATGAGAGGGAAATGTCTATCTATAAGTCTATTATCTCTATCTCGTAGCCTATTATGTCTAGTTTATTATCTCGTAATTTACGAGATAATAAACTGCCTGTGAGATAAAATTGATGCTGCTCTAGGTGAACTCGGTGAGAACATTCTCCAGCTGTGAGATAAAATTCTCGTCCACAGAGAAACATTTCATTAGGAGCTGTTTATGAGGCCAGATCCAAATAACGGCATGGGCAAGAACTAGATGACCAAATTCTGGCTATCGAGAAAGTTGATGCTGGCTGCAGGAACGGTTCCCCTGTCGAGCTGAAAGCAGAGCAGTCCTCTCGGCAAGATAAAAGGCTCTCCTGTCTTCACTACAAGAGTCTGGTGGGAGAGGTGGGGTCGTCGCTGTTAGCAACGAAGCCGGTAAAGTCTCACCCTCCAAGACGAAGATGATCCAGTGGCCGTGTGGTGAGTGTGGGGCACAATGACACCGATCGGGTTCATGTCGAATCGGACGAGGGAGAAAACCCGTTATGTCAAAAGCCGGCCAGTTGTGCTCTAGTTCGAAAGTCGTCTTAGCCTTGAACAGATGACCTGTGAGATCTGCGGCCTCAGCAAGTTCTGCAAAACCGAAGTCCACCGTTGTAACTTTAGTCGATCTTTTGCAGGCATAAATTTTCACGTACGCCGCAGAGTCAAAGCTACAATGCAAACTTTGCAGTTGATCTGAATTGCAATTCCAGTCCAAATCCTCAAAGTCTCATGATTGCAAACTTTCTACTTATGTCTGAAGCTCCTGCCATGAAGACTGATTCAAGTCAAGGTTCTTAATCTCTAATGTAAGCTACTTCGGTGACCGATGAGGTGTAAGTCGATAAACAAATTACATCTGGGATCACAGAAGATGGCAGTCAATATACAGACTACTGAAATGCTCGAAGAAGAGGCAATCTTTCTCTTTGGATCAATCAAACACAGGATTGGTTTACTACCAATCTTAGGTTGGACTCTCAGTTGCATGACACCGGAAAGAAATGTGTGAGTTATTCAGGACTGGTGAATCTGCTGTGCATGGTCTTTCAGCTCCAGTATGGAAGTATGTGTAAGAAGACTCATTGTACAAAAAGCAATGCTTTTATTTGTAAAAATATTATGGTATGTCTTTTTTATGTGTATAGGACATTCAGACAAGTCAGCCGCATGAGTAATAATTGGTACGCTAGGCTAAAAAAAGCTCCAGTTACAAGAATGTAGCGCTTGATTTTAAATTAGATGGATTCTTGTGCTACTACGTTTGCTTCTATCCTTGGTTATGAGAGAGGTCAATGTGACTTCCTAGAAGACAACCTTGTGAACACCCTGTTGGAATTTAAGATTTTCAAGTCAAGGTTATACAGTTTTGAGCATTTTGCGTACGTGTCATCATAATATTATGAAAAGATTGCTCTTGTAATCAACTCATATTAGAATAGGATACATCCTGATGAATTTTGTCAATTTTTCCACATTCTATGGAGGATATGTAATTATTAGTATGATATTTGTAGTTTTGATTCAGTAGATAATGTAATAAATCGTTTTCAAGCTAACTTAAAGCTGTGGAATTTTCTGACTTGGATAGTACAATGTGATAATACAATCGATATGTTGTGATGTATTTATTTATATGTTGTAATTTCATTATCTTTTCTTTCAATATTTCATCAAATATATAAACTAGTCGTATTTGCGATATTCCGACAACCGTTCAGCAGTGATTGAGCTGGCCAGTGTATTACACTGGTCTACTGATTATTGTGGATAATATTTGTTGAAAGAAAGCTTTAGATCTAGCTTTAGCCGTGAACATACGAGCTTATCGTCTTTAGGAAGAAATCTGCTCGCAATATATTTACTTTAACTTAAATTCTTTACAGATAATATATGATTGTTCTTCACATAGATTCGACTGATTGTAAAATACATTGCTACTACTATTAGAGAGATTTCTCAGTTTTACATCTCGCGCGGTTTGCCAGCGATAAATGCACCGGACCCAAACTTGTACATAGTGAGGTTTACAATCACCAGACAAATAAATTGTCTGTCAGATACTTTTCGAAATCTATATCTACAGCTGTCGACGTTAAAATCTTAGTTCATGTTCTTCGAATCTATCTTACTAAACTCGGTCTTCTTGATTTTGCTCTTGTCTCCGCTCTTGATCCGGTTTTCGATGTACTCGAAGAAACTGCCATCATAAATACCTCGAATCGCTTCCTTACTTGCAAAACCTTCCTCATCTTTCACGAGCCAGTAAGTAAAGCCCCATTCAAGTTTTGCAGCACTCCTGGAAAGTATTTAGAGTTCGAGTTAAATTCTCTAATATCTGAACAGATATTGAATATCTAACTTTCACGAAAGATATTTGCCAGGCTCAAAACAAGCAGTATTTGGGCATGCACGCACATGCCGTTGAATACAGGAGAATTCATAACACTATAACAAGGAGAGTCCAACTCACCAGCCAAACGGATCGTTCACATTTCTCAGCGAATCCGTCATGTAGATAATTTCCTCGTAGGTCATGAACCCTGGCTTTGTGCGAGCATATTTGTTGAAAATCTCCTCGAACTTGAAGGGTACAAATCTGCCCTCGGTATCGTAAATCTCTGTGTCACTTCCATGCTTGGTGCGATGAATTTTTTCAAGATATATGGGAAATCGAAGGTCAGGGACCCAACCCTGCACAAGAAAGTAAATCACTGCGTTAAAGGTGACCAACTTGCAAACTTTCCTACAATACCAGAGGAAATTGTCAATTTTACACAGACAAGACTTTGAATATGTAAAATGACTCTAAACTACTTACGTCGTATGTAGGGTAGCTGAATGCTCCGTTGATAACAATGGCGGCGAGCGTCGATATACTAGTCGAGTATCCAAGAGCTTTGAAGCCTGGTGTTTCCCAGTACCCGAAATTCGTTAGATTGTTAGCATTCATTGGAACAGAATCCTTATATATCTGCATAAAGTTATCATATAGTGGTGATGATTCAGGTCTATCAGCATGAAGCAAATCTCAACTGTGTACCTGCGTAAGTTTCGTTGGGATATATCACTCCATCATTGTTCCGGTCGAAAAATGCACAGTGCTGTTGTAGTACAGTGTAATCTCTGGGGTTCCGGCCTGGTGTACCTTCTGGGTGCTCTGCATCGGCAGCCACCAAAGCTCTAGGTAGTTCTGCACCCCGACGACAACCACCTTAGAACTGAAAACTCTTGCATTACTTCATAATTTCTAATACTTCATGAGCGCTCAATTTGCAAAATCTAGAACTTCATTGGACAATTCTTAAATTTTATGAGTTTCCAACATGTTTGAACTTCATGTCTCAACCCTTGCTATGTTGATTGAACTTATGCGCTTCGCTGGAGAGCAAATGACATGGAGAGATATCAATCTCGTAAAAGTAAATGTGTAGATTCGAGACTACTTACGTGGGTGCTCAAGGGGAAGGTCCTTGGTGGAGACATTTCGTTCAGAAGTGGCAGGCGCCTTTCTAGCTACAGTCTCGAAAGCGACTGAATTCGTCTTTTGAGAGCTCGACCCTTTCGCAGTCTTACTGGATCGAGCCTCCTGTGGTGGTGACTTATACTGCGTATCCTGTGGGATGGAAGCCACCGTCCTCGATCCTGGCTTGATTCTGCTCGGAAGGTCAGAACGGGACACTTTCCTTCCGCTAAGCTGCAGGGGACGGCTCCACGCCAGCCCCTGGACTCGATTGCTTAAAGAGCTCATGCTCAGACTCATCTGCCGCACGATTGTAGTACTTCCTAATCCTCGAACGAAGGGCCGGCTATACATACAAATGCCAGGGCAACTTTCCTAACAATCTACTGCAATGTCCGAACCGGCCTGGAGGCTCAATTTCGAAGGAAATTTTGTCTTAGAGAATCTCTGAGCCGCAAACAGAAAGCGATGCAGCGAAAAGGGAGGCCTGCGACGTTTATGGGCCGGGATGAGCTGACTGGAGTGTCGGTCCATCTCTATATACAGAAGTGCCAGGTCGAGCGAAATGTGCAAGCCGGCAACGAACGCTGTGCTGGGGCGTTCGATCCTGCATCGAGCGGGGAATGCTCGGACCCGTCGAGAGCAAGTCCGAGGCCGACACGTGGGAGCATGCCATGCACGTCCCACGTGTGCTGTGCGTCTACGGCCTCATGGCGAGATGAGGATCGTACAGAGTAACAATTAACCTCCGGTAGCCAACTTCTACGGAGGCAACTCTGCAGTCTCGGTTCTCGACACGTGAAGTCGCGCGAGTCTGGATAATGGACTCTCCCCTCCGTTCACACTGACGAAAGTTACCAGACACGTGTACTACGTTCATTTAATTCGGCGTAGAAATCCCTAGAGTCGCTGTCTAACAAACGCTCACGAAACTAACTTCCGTCTTTAGTGTTAGCGTCCATTTTCACATTTGCTCATCATTCACTTTTCTAATTGAGCTCTTTTATGGTAGGTTTCATTATGACTTTTACTAATAACAACTCTTTGTACTTAGCATTTGACTTAAAAAGCAACACAATACTTATTTGAATACGAATAGTACATCTCATAGAATTTTTTTATTTTAAGTATATAATTTGTATTGTTAATATTATACATCTAATCTTATTGAAACTATGATGATCTAGCATGTGTAATCTACACTATCGTATATGGCAGTGCTTAAATTATTTAAATTTCGGTGTTAATTGACGCCTAAATTGATGCGTGTGGGACAATCAATATGAAGGAAGCACCCAGTCCTCAACAAGTCCGTATCATAACGGATCAGAGTGCAACATTGCACTCTGATCCCTGCACCCTAAATTTTTACCAACTCTCATTTTTTAAAATATGAGTAAGATCTGAGCTGAATGTTGTTGGTCGAGTCAACCTTAGCACTCCAAAGTTTTTGCTCAAGTGAAGACTCGCTCAAACCTTACATCTTCTTGTTTCATTGACTCGTCAAGAGATGGAGCTATACTTTTTTACACTTGGAATATTTTTCATATTTTGTTGGGTTGCATAGTTCAGATCGTCGTGATGAGTATTATCCCGCACATAATGTTGTTGTTGGGCGTTGGCAAAGTACAATTGTTAAAGTTATGGAGTAGAAGTAGGATGCGAGCTCAGTGTTGCTGATTGAGTCAGGCTTAGCAATCCAAAGTTCTCGCTGAGTGTTGCGAGTGGAGACTCGTCCAAACTTTTACCTCTTTTCGCCTCATCAAATTATTGTTAGGTTGCATACATTCTTCCACACTAGATATAAATTTTCATATTTTAGTGAGATTGCATAGGTCAAACCTTCGTGATGGGTCTTACCCACACGTTATGTTGTTGATGAGAGCTGACAGAGCACAAGTGTTGAAATTTTTAGAGTAAGAGTAAGAACCGAGCTGAGTGCTGAAGTTTAAGAAGAGTTGAAACGTCTTGACTTTCCGTTGAAGTTTTTAACCAAATGCTCGGAAATCTTTTTGATATTAGAAGGAGTTGAAAATAATTAAAAGTCAATCCGTTAGTAGTGTTTCAACGTTCACTAAAAGAGCACAAAGAGTGGGAGAAGTGAACTCTCTCTTTCTCACGCAAGTGTTTTCAGCCAACACTATGTAATCTTTAACTTTACTTCTTCTACACTTGGGACATTTTTCTTTTTCTTCTTCAAAAAGTCTCAAATATTTTATATTTTCATTTATATGATTTTCAAATATGTGAATTGTTATGATTAGCAATTAAGACTACATAGCAAGGAGTAAGTTCTACAACCCGTATTATTATCTACACTGTCTAACAAACAATCGTTTGGATACATTAAAGATCACGATATCATCATCATATCATCTAGTGTCTTGGAGTTTTAGAATAATTTTATTTAGAAGCTCAGGGTTGCCGATAGTATTATATGGAACCAAGTGTGGGGCTCTAGTTTTCAGAAGATATGTTGGGAGCATGTGAAGAGAGTGCAAAAGATTTTTCTATAAGAAGAATTGGGAGTGAGAAACTAAACTCCATATGATATTCTTCTTGTTGAAACATGTTGTTTAACTCTAGAGGCTGAAGCTCTATACTTGATCATCACTTATATCAGAAGGGTGAGATTTTTTTATGCTTCTCGCCTTACTCTTCAAGCTTTATGTTCCACACATCCCAAAGAATGGTTAGCGGATGTGATAACTTGGTTTTTGATGTGGAATGTGGCAAAACGCTATTGGGACATACAACCTATGGCACTACGCGAACGTCTAAAGGAGGAGATTCAGAACATTATTTGGAGCACGCGCGGATTAACCCTAATAGACTAATCCTATGCTAATTAGACATTTTGTACTAAAATATGTCTAAATTAGCCTAGGTTAACTTTTCTGATGATACTAAATTAAGCTAATTTAGGTAAATTGGGCAATTGACTAATATAAACATGCGTGAATATGATCCAAAGAAATTATATGTTAGTTAGATTTAGCTTCAAATCTAAATTCAGTATTATAAAGAATTGAAAAAAAAAACTAAAAAACTCTTTTATTTTGTTAAGATCAAAAGTCAAAATGAAGTATATTGTATGAAAATTTTTGAACAAGAATCAAAAGTGAGACATTTTTGAAACAAAAATTTATCTGGTTAGATTCAGTCAAACCATTTTGTGCTCATATTTTACTCATTTGAAGCATCAAATCATAATCTTTTGATGATTGAAATATTATAATTTGTGATAGACAATTAGAATATAGGTAGTAAAATTTCAAATATATAACACATTAAAAAGTAATATTAATGTGAGTGCTAAAATATATTCATCTACCATGTTCAATCTTGAATTATCTAAAATCCAACACCATTCAATGACATTATCAAATTTCACGCATCCATGTTGTACTTAGTTATGAAAAATAGACTAATGTATAATTAATTTGAACTCTAATTATTATTCTTTTGAAATCTATGAATCGTATAGTCTAGATTGATGCATGAAAAAATAGCAATATAAACTATATTACAATATAAAAGTAATCAAAATCTTGCAATATCAATCTGCGATAATTTCATGTTCCATCTTTAATAATTCTGAATATTTGAGAAAATATAACAAAAAGTTATGTGAGATCACATGTAATAGAAAAATTAAATGTCTTTTAAGAATAGATCATTCTATTTTTTCTTGACAACCTTGATAAGACGGGAAAAATTAGTATAAAGTTGTATTTTAGATACAGTTGCTAGCTGCTGAAATCATGGATGTAGCCATGTATTTTTATTATTTTATTTTATTTTAAGACATTCAATATCTTAATATTTCATATTTCGAGGTGGAGGATGTTTATCATCCTATATCTTTGTAGAATGGTAGGACAAGTTATGTGTTTCCACTGTCTAATGGTAATGGTAAATAGATCAAGCCCGTGGGAGCCAAAGTATCAAAAGGCTAAAAAACACAATACAAAGAAACAAACTCCAAACCAAGAAAAAATCAAAAGAATCCCTTAGCTAGTGCCCATAGCATCAGAACAAAAACTAATAATATCAATCACAAAACAACCTAAATCATAAGGCTCAAGCTGCAGTAAAGAATAAAAATTCTCAACAACCTTATGAGACACTATAATCTCAGTATACCTAGTACAAGTAACAAACATGTCCTCTTCATCCTCAACTTTTCTTCCATCATATAGCCTACAAATACGTTAACTCCTATCAATGTTCAATCAACGTCCTTCCTCAATTCCAAGACTATGAGATCATGTTCTACGCTAAGCAATAATATGACCTAAAGATGTAGAAATCTCCGCAAGTAAGTATCCTTGCTCACAATAAACAAGCATAGGATTCACATGAAGTTGATATAATTCCATTTTAGTGACTCATCTCCTCCAAATAATGCAAAAAATTCCTCCATGATAAGCTTGCAAAGAGTCATAGGTTGCAAATCTCAATCGAGTTCCGTCACATTCCACCTCAAAGACCAAGTCACCACATTTGCAAACCATCCCTTGGTACATGTGGCACAAAAAGCTTCAAGATGAAGTCGAGAAGCATCAAGAGATCTCACTCTTTTGACGTAAATAATAGTCAAGAAGAGAGCTTTAGCCTCAAGAGGTAGACAACTTGTTTCCGCAAGAAGAATAGCATATGAATTCTGAGTCCTCACACCCAATTCTTCTTGTAAGAAGATCTTTTGCATCCTCTCCAAATGCTAGCAACTTGTCTTCTTACAATCAGGACCTCACACTTGTGTTCCATACAAGATAACAAAAAACACTAATCTCCTGAATAAGAATTTACTAACACTTCAAGACGCAAGATGAGCTTCTCTACATCTATTTAGCAATGAATATAGAGCTTTGAAACTAGCTTCTACCCTCTTTTGCACACAAAGTGACCAACAATAATATTAGAAGAAAGCAATGTCTAAATATTTGTAACTCTTCATTTTTTCCAATTCTAATCCTTTGTAAAAGAAAGAAAGCTTGAATCTAATGCTCTTAAGAATGATTTTTGACTTCTCTAAATTGATCTCCATCTGATTTTGAGTGCAAAAGCTAGCCAAAGTGTCAAGGTGTTTCTTTAAACTAATGTTATCACGTGGTAATAAAATGACATCATCTGCATACAAAGGAGCTTTGAATACAAAGCCTCCAAGTTTGACACTTTCACTATTACAATCCTCTAACCAACTTTCTACATCATCTATGAAAACTCCAAAAAGAGTAGGAGAAAGAGTACAACCTTGAAGTACTCCAATTGTATTCAAAATCTCTTCGGTTTGAGAAGTGTTGATCTTGGCCCGAAAAGAGTGCTATAATGTGGCCACCGCTACGAAGAGATCTGATGGTAATCCAATGGTTTGCAATCTTTGCCATAGAAGCTCACAAGGTGTTGTGTCAAAAGCTTTCTTGAAATCAATGAAATCACAAAACAAAGCTTTTTTATTACCCTCAGATTTTTACCATAAAACACGCAAAACCAAG